ATATTAACACTCATTGAGTCCTGTCCATTAGGCAATAAGATCTTTTCCACCTTCTCTCTCCTTCCTTTCTTTACTGGGAATGCAACCTTTGGACTTAATTTCTAACCTATACTTCAGTTGAGACCTTGGGCCTTGTTTCCATGTTTGTTGCTTATAAGTATTGTCTGTGTCTTTGTCAGAGAATGTTTTTTGTTTATTTGTTGCCCTGAAATTTTTAGTTGCAATAGCCCTCCCCCTCTTCCCGACAGAGTTTCTTTGTATTGCTTTGGAACCTGTTCCAGAACTCATTCTGTAGACCAGGCTGGCCTCAAACAGAGACCCACCTGCCTCTGCCTCCTGAGTGCTAGGATTAAAGGCATGCACCACCAATGTCTGGCTTTCCATAATCAATTATTTTCTCTTGGCTAGAACTTTTTATGCTCTCTTTAATCATTCTTCCCCCAAATAATCCTGCTAAATTTCCTTCTAGACTCTATCTTGGTAGCACTTCATTCATAGGTGTAGAACCCAAATTCTAAGTCTCTGCTACCCCTAAAAAAAAACATGGCTTCTTTGGCTTAGCATGTCCGCAGGTTAGCATTCTTTTTTTCTTTTCTAGTCATCCATCTGCCTGTCTGTGCAGTGATCTTCTCTTCCACTTCCTTGTATGCTCTGCTTACCCCTCTCTCACAGCCTTCCAGTCTTCTCTCTGTCAGAGGTCACAGAGGAAATATTTAGTTAGTCTCTGCCAAACATTCTGGCTGTGCTGTTTTCCTTAAACTGACTTGCAGATAAATTGTTTTGCTTCGTCTCCATGCTCTAGTGCAGATGTTTCTCCCATAACAGAGTTATTGTGGTCAGTTGTGGGGGCTTGGTAGACCATGTTTGGAGAATTGGATTCTTAACCTCTGAGCCATCTCTCCAGACCTGAGAATTGGATTCTGATCTCTGCTGTCCTACTAATTTGTGGTTTGATATTATGCAGGGCTCTTTCTGTGTTTCAATTTCCTATTGTCAAAAGTGTCCTTATTTCATTATATGGAAGTTGAGACTTACGGGTGTGAGATGGGAACCTAGAGAGTAAACCTTGTCACCAAGGAATGAGCATAGACATGAGACAGAGAATCATTGCTCTAAGAATAGCTCTTCATTAGTAGAACTGAAAGAGAATTCAGATGACCTATATGAAGATAAAGCTGGACTAGGTAGTTATCTTGAAAAAGTAGAAAGTAAAAAGTAATAAAATAAAGTGACTTGGTTCACTTCTAGAGTGAACTGCTTTGGCCTCCTCTGGTTTGCCCTGGGACCTGTATCTGTTTGTTGTCACCTGGGGATGTAGGAGCCTTCTGTGTATCCAGAATTCCTCTTCCTACCTTCCACCTCTTTCACAGACTCAACCTGGATCTTCACCTAACTTTGATTTTCCAATCAGATGGAGATTGGCCCTTGGAAGTTGGAGTTTGAGGAAATCTTAAGTGTTTGATAACATGCCCAATGTTTCTTGATGCCTCCTTCTGAGCTGCACATGGCTGTGTTCCAAATCTTAGGCTTTGGAGGAGTCAGGATTTGGTTCTAGCAAGGAAAGGGATAGTGTTTGGGGATCCTATTACCAAGAGCTATGAAATAAGAGTAGACTAAAGAGATGAGAGATGCCCCTAAAAACACCAAGGGGCCTTTGAAGAGGAGATGGACGGTTTGGCTTGTGCTTACATAAACCTCAGCTTTCCTTCCCCATGTGCTTGATAACAGAGCTGCTGACAAAAGCAAAGTCTTCGTCTTGTTTGCTTCTGAAATGCCTTGAAATTTAGTCAGGTCTTGCTTCATTTAGACCTTTTTTTCTTTCCCTTCAAAGATTTGCCCTTTAAAGTTTCCTTCACTAAAGAATGAGCAGGACCTTCTAAGGTCTTTTGCTACCCGTGGTTCTTTGTAGGTTGTAAATGGCATAGGAGACACCTGTCTATTCACTTAGTGATGAGGCTGAGGCACCATACTCACTATTGCTACCTTCATCATTCAGAGGCTTTTAAAATGCTGAAACCTGCAGAGAAAGCCAGAGAATTTGGCAGAATAGCTGTGGAGAAAAGATTTATTTACTGGACTCTGTCTACTTTCAAGCTATTCCCCAGTCTTTATTTTCTCTTTTTCCCTAAGACAGTCACCACAGTGCTCATCACACTAATGCTTTTGTAGTCTATAGCCCTGATTTATATCCTGACTCTACCTCACCAATGAGGGTGCCCTTTGGTATACTGAAACTTAACGGAATAGGTGACATTGATCCTTTTCTTCAGGAAGTAGGCACTGTTATCTAGTCAGCTCTAGGAGACTAGGAAGTGAATGCCAATGTGGGTTCTGTAGATGTATGTGTTCATTGTGGAGACTAACAACATCTAGTTGAAGTAATGGTTTGATTTGAGCCTTGATGACAGGCTGTGAGCCTGTCTGGTATGTGGTACTTTGCCCCCATTCCATTTGGTCTCAAGTTGTTTAGGTCAATGACCCAACTGGTAAATGTCATGTAATTCCAGATGTTTCTTAAGGCCAGTCATTTTCTGAGTATCTGTGAGCCTGCTAACTCATCAGTCATAGGTAATTCAGTATTATTTTTTAAATCCCTTACTCCTGCCTCTTTTGGGGGGGCATGGATGTTTTGCCTATATGTATATCTGTGTATTATGTGTGTGCCTGGTGCCCTCAGAGGTCAGAACAGGATATCAGATCCCCTGGAACTGGAGTTACAGATGGTTGTGAACCACCATATAGGTGCTAGGAATTGGACTCTGGTCCTCTGGGAGAGCACCCAGTGCTCTTAGCCACCAAGCCATCTCTCTAACCCGTATTTATCTCACCTTTAGTCCTGTTCTTTCTTTTGAGTTCTTTTCTATCTATTTTGCTTAGTTACTTAAGGAAAGATCTTTCTTGCCTATTGCTCTTTGGTTATGATTATTCTAATCCTGGCTGATAAACGTTATACCAGGAACACTTTTGAAAAGACAGATATTTGGGAATGAAAGTAAATAGTGGGGTACCACAGTGAAGAATGAAATTGTGTCATTTGCTGGAAAATGGATACAACTAGAGAGTGTCGTATTAAGTGAAATAAAGCCAAACTTTGACAAATACTGAATTTTTTTCTCGTTTGTGGATCTTTCATTTTTTATAGATACATAAAACATATAAATATAACATGGAAATAGAAAAACTACTAGGGAAAGAAAGGAGACTAGTAGGAAGAAGATAAGGAAGAATGGGGAAGGTAGGTCAGGTGTATGATAATACTTGAAAAAAATGGAATTTATGAGACCCAAAGCAGCTATGTACAATGAATATATTTGTGCATCTGTCTGTCTGTCTATTCAAAGGAATGAATAGCAGGTAAACTGCACCCATGAAATCTCAATATGGCCACTAAGACAAGCACAATGACATGCCAGTGTGGTTGAGGCAAATCTCACAAGGCTCTACCCCTAGATGAAGGGCTACAGGCATTTAATGACTGCTGAGAGAAGGAGAATCAGTCCTCTCCAGGGATGAGCTCCTGATAACGATTATCCGGGCCAAGTGGTCAGCCCTAAACACATTTACATACAAGCAACACTAAGTGGACTTAACAAGCTGTGTTTATTTTTATGAGAGAATAATAACTAAAGAAGAGGAGGTCAGAAATATGAGAGGGAGTAGTGAGACATAGGAGGAGTTGGAGTGGGGAGAGGGGATGGAAATGGTATAAATACAGTTCTCGTATGAAATTCTCAAAATTAAATTAATAAGATATCGAAATTAGATGGTGTGGGGCAGGACATATATTAGCAGTTAAGAAGGAATACTGATTTTCCAGAGGTCTGGTTGGTTCTCAGAACCCATGTTGGATGGTTCCAACTCCAGGGGTCCAAGGCCTCTGATCTCAGCAGGTACCTATGCTGATGTGCACATACCCATGCACAGACACATAGTTAACAATAACAAAAAAGTTACATAGAAGCTGGGTGTGGTGGTGCATGCCTTTAATCTCAGCACTTGGGAGGCAGAGGCAGGTAGATTTGTGAGTTTGAGGCCAGCCAGGTTTACAGAGGGAGTTCTAGCACAGCCAGGGCTATGTAGAAAGACCCTGTTTCAAAAAAAAAAAAAAAAAGATTTTTAGAAGGTGTAAATTATTAATGTATTAGTGTTGCTCTAGAGAATACCTTTGAAAATCCTGGCAAATGTCCATTGTATGGATTTTTATGTTCTACCTGTTAGTTCTCAGATAGCTAGCGGATAGCTTAGGCTTGTTACTAACTAGCTTTTACAACTTAGATTAACCCATAATTCCTATCTATGCTCCATTGTTATGAGTAGGTTTTCCTGCCAGCCTGGACCCACCGTGGTGCCAGCCCCAAATAACACGCCGAGACTCTGTATTAGATAGATAATGCTGTTGGCCTGTTACTTGTTTCTTATTGGCTAGCTCTGTCTTAATTATTAACCCATTTCTAGTAATCTAAGTACTTCCACGTGGTCTCATCTTACCAGAGAGTAGGCCCAGATCTCTGTTCTCTCCAGTCTCTCCATGCTGACTCCTCCTCACTACTTCCTCGAATCCTACTTGTCTCCGAGTCCCGCCTATCTTGCTTTCCTATTGGCTAACAGTGCTTTATTCATTAACCAGTTTGAGAAACATATTTACAGAATGGTACCTTTTTTCAGCATGGCATGTTCATCTGATTCCTCTGTGTCTGGCTGGTGACTGTACCCTCCTTCTTCCCCTCATGTTCTCAGTCTGGCTTTCCCACCTTACATCTTCCTGCCTAGCTATTGGGCAATTGACCAATATTAAACCAGTGAGAGTAATACAAAAGGATTATTCCACAGCAGTCCACCTTTTATTATTTTTATTTTTTAAATTAAGTTAAAAATCTTTTGAGTCTCATGTTGGCCTCCTATTTGGTATGTAGCTGAGGCTGACCTTGAACTTTTGATCCTCCATCTTCTGAGTGCTGGGATTATAGGCATATACTACCTCTTTAAAACAAAAAACAAAAAAAACTATGGCATGCCTCGTGAATTTGCTGACATCCGTATGCAGAGGACATACTAATCACCTGTGTATCTTTCCAGGTTTAGTTTTTGTTCTGCAGTAGCAAGCATCCAGCTCTATCTTAAATCAACCTGTCCTTCCTGCACTATTGTGTGAGATCTGTAAGCACTATGTAATTTTATATCTTCTTGCTAGTATTTTCAGAGATGTTGCTTTGTTTCTTTATTACATATAGATCAAATTTCAGCCATGTTTTTCAGTAATGAGTTTGTCTGGTCATTCAACCATCACGTCTAATGTGTATGTTGCCATTTTATAAAAGTGACTGATGGAGTAGTGTTCATGAAAACAGTTCATTCACTCTCTTGACTCTATTCCTGTTGTTCAGAGAGGAAGGAAAGTACTTCCAAAGGATTCTGAGAGTAAGATAAGGAAAGCTTGACCTTTCCTTTGAATCAGAGTCTCTAGGCTGGAGATGATGGAGCTAGCCATGCTTAAATTTCCCTCAGCTCTTTCCTCCTCTCCCTGAGTGTCTTTTCAGGACAAAGCTCCTCTTTGAAAATTGTGATCTGACTATGGTAGGATGATGTTCTTCAGACATGCTTAGTGGAGAGAATGGACTTACCCCCTCCTATTTTTGATGAGGAGACAATCTGAAGCTGAGTACATAATCTACACAGAATACATGCTGCTCACATAGGCAAACCGAAGATGACCTGGTGCTGTATGTGTAACCTGCAGCATCTCCTTGTGGAATGAAAAGTCAGGAAAAGAAAACTGTGTTTGAATAAGATTCCAAAGTGTACTGTGCTTCAGGTGACCAAAACTTCCTGTTAGGATGAGAAAGTTTGTCCAGATGTTCCTGCTGGGGATTGGCCTGTGTCCTATCTGTTGTTCCAGAGAGGTACAATGTAGCTGATTTTATCTCTCTTCGCCCTTCTTTCTATGGGCTCAGGATGTTCTTTTTGAATTCTTCTGTAGCTTTGACTCAGGAAAAGCAGCATGTATTTGGGGCTAGGGTTGTGAGTAAAATCTGTGGCTAGAGACCAGGGTGAATCTTACACTTCTCCTCAGTCACAAGTCCTTCAATCAAAAGGCTCCATTTGCAACAGGTTAGAGACTGCAGAGCAAGCTGTGGATCTTTATTGTGTAAATTTGAGGCGTGGATGGGTGAAATCCAGAGCCCTGAGGCAAGCATGTGTCAACCAGAAAGATGACATCTGCTAGTTTGCTGGTGCTGCTCTAAGGGGAGAGTCCAGGTGCTTAGCCACCTTCCTGCATGTGGGGTGTCTGGAGCCACTCCTAGTTCTGTCAGCCATCAAGTCCTCTGTCTGGAAAAAGCTTTGTCTAATTTTGCCTCCTGTTATCTCCATGGAACTGAAATGGAAATTTTTGTGGTGAGAACAAACCTTTGAGGACTAAATAGACTAGTGTGAGATCTTGTGTGCTTTTTGTGACTGTGCTAAAGAGCTGCTTACCCTTGTGATACGAGGTATCTTATATGAAGTATGAAGGGGAAGTGTCTGAAATCCTTATTAGGAATTGCCTTTTCCCAGGAAAGGAGAGCAGTCTTAGATTTGATTAATTTTTCTTTATTTAATTCTCCCTGTGTGTGGAAGGGAGAGCTGGTCACCTGTGTGCATATATGTGTGTGGTAGCCGGGAGTTAGCATTTGGTGTCTTCCTCAGTCACTTAACTACCTAATTTTCTGAAATAAGGTCTCTCATCAACCCTGGAGTTCACTGATTTGGCTAGATTGGCCTTGAGCTCCCAGTATTCTTGTCTCTGCCTCCCAGCTCTGGGATTATAGACATGTGCTGCTATGCCCTGCCTGCTTTTTACATGGGTGCTGGGGATCTGAACTTGGGTGCTCAGGCTGGATTAGCAAGTACTTTACCAACTAAGCCATCTCTCTAGCCCTGATTTAAATCATTTATATATTAATATCATTCAATGGCTTAATATTCAGCATAGAAGAGGAAAGCATAACTAATGACTTCTTTTTTGTATTGTGCTCCTGCCCCCATGTTTATCTTCCAACAGAGCCACTTAGTGCCATACTTTGGGAAAGGCATGTGTGCAGAATGATCTCTCTATTCAGCCTTGCTATGTGCAGACTTCTAGGTACTGTAGTAGGGATTCTTAGGAAGCCTACAGCTAACATTAGGACTGCAAGAAACATTACAACTTCTGAGGCAACAAAGAGGCCAGAAGAGTTGGAGCCAGCAAAGCCTAACTACTCACCAGTTTTGTTTTCCTGTCAGATGTTGGGATTTCCCTCTGGTTCCACCTGTTTCCCTTGGCTCACATTCAAGCATGACTACTGCTTACTCAGAAGGTACTGGGGAGAAGCTCAGGTATATTCCGTCTGGGTGTCTTTTTTTTTCTTCCTTTGGTCTTTCAGATCTGAGGATTTTTCCATCATAGCCTCTGAGGTACCAAAGTGCTTGTTCTAAGCCCAGTGCTAACACGGACCTGGGAAGCTGTGGGTAAAGTCTTGGTTTCTTTCTTATTCAGGCATTTCTCAGAAGCCATCTGCATTCCTTTCTGCCTAACTTTGCCCTGGGATTGTGTGGGTATAGTTGCTTCCTGCTTCTATGATGTGGAATGTTAAAACAGATCTGTGGAGACTAACTACTGAAGGGGACCAGAGCAGTTGAAGGTAGAATGACCTATTCTTGTAATTCTGGAGCTTGGAGTTATCTTCATGGAGATGTAGTATTGATTATTCTTTTGGGAAGAGGATCTCACTAAGCAGCCCAAGCTGTATTCAAGCTTATGGTCTTCTGTATTAACTTCTTGAGCGCTGGGATTAGAGTAATGTGTCATTGTACTGGGGCTCAGAAAGGGGCTCAGTATTAGTTCTCTCTAAAACATTCCCAGTTTGCTTGCTTTTCTTCCTGTCATTCTGAAAGGGATAGGGTGGAGAGCAAGGGCAATGAGCAATTTCCTATGATCTTTTGAACTTAAGACTGGTACTGCAGATGCATTTTATGAGAAGGAGCTGAGAAGCAGGTATGAGGGTGTCTCTGGCTCTAACATAACTGAGGTCCCACCAGTCAGTGTTTACACTCTGTAAAGTTTTTGTAAGTACCCCCTTCCATTGTAGGAAGGTGCTACTTGGGTTCAGAATATTTGGGGAGCAGCATTTGTTCCTGAAAAGTAGGAAGGGCCCAAGAAGACATTAAAAACATGGATAACTGGAGGGATGAGGCTGAATGTGGAGAGTAGGGATAAGACCTTCTAAAGAACTGGAAAGCGTAGTAAATTTGGGGGGAATGGTGTATGCTGTCTGAAAAGTGGGTAAGTGGGGATGCGTCCAGAGTGAACTGAGGCCAGAAGCCATGAGGTTTGGGAATGCTTGCTTGTACCTACACTGCTGAGTGCCTTGGTCAAGAATGCATCCCTCTGGGAATAGAGTTGACCCTTTGCTTGACCTGTACCCATCATATGCCTATGTGATTCTGGCTTGTAAGGTTCTGGCAGAATTTCACAGGGCAGAACTATTAGGTTTGAGGGTAGACTGGTCAGCCAGATTTTTGGCTGCCTTAATGATGAGAACCTTCTTGGTAGCTGCCAATCCTTGCTGACTTGGTCTATGAAGGTTTTTTGCCTTTGTAAGGTACATAATTCTTTTCACACATGTCCTACATCTTTGGGGTTTAAAAAGCAGGCTTACACCCAGGTGTGCTGGTGCACGCCTATAAGGTAGCGCTTAATGGTACTCAAGCAGGCGAATCGTGAGTTTAAGGCTAGATAGACAAGGTAGTATCAAGCATGACCTACATAAGGAGATTTTGTCTTAAAAAAATAATAAGGATTAGAAAGATGGCTCAGTGGTTAAGAACACTTGCTGAGGACCCTAGGTTTGATTCCTAGCCCCACATGGTGTCTCACAACCATCTGTAGCTCCAGGTCCAGGAGATCTGATGGCCTCTTCTGATCTCTGCCAGCACCAATCACACGTGTGTTGCACCTACAAACATGTAAGCAAAACATACATGAATAAAATTGACAAGAATTTTAAAAGATGGGGTGGTTAGTGGTGTATCTCCAGTAGTAGAGGGCTTGTCTAGCATTTATGAAGCTCTGGGTTGTATCCCCAATACTGCATAAACCAAGTGTAGTTGTGTATGCCTGTAATCTCAGTACTGAGGAAGTGGAAGAGGGAGGATCAGAAGTTCAGGGTCATCCTCATCTTTATAGTAAGTTTGAGGTCATTCTTACCTACATGAAACCTTGTAGTAAGGGGCTTAATTTGAAACAGAACAAACTCAGGGGCCTTCATCTGAAATATGTATTGGAAGACTCCTACTAGTCTTGGCTCTCCTCATCTCTTTCTTCCCTTTCTCTTCCCAACATAGTCAAACATTGTAAGCATCTGTCACTATCAGGTAGGCCCATCAGGATGTTAAGAATAAAGCTAAGTATAACTGTCTACACGTTGTTTGGAGTGCTTGGGCTCATCTGTAGAGCCATCTGCAATGGGCCTTTCCTCCAAAGACTGGGTGAAAGTGGTGAGGAAAGGATAAGAATATACTTCAAGATCAGGATAGCATTGAGTCCATATTCCCTTCTCCCTCCTGTGCTTTCAGCATCATCATTGTTGATGGTCAAGTGTGGAAAGAGAAAAATAATACCTTGCTGTGCAGTCTTCAAGCAGTCAAGCGTTTACTGACTTTCTCAGCTTAACCTACAGTGTAATGCAGATAGAATATAAAACTTGGATTTTGGCAAGAGGGCATTTATTATCCATCCAGAGAGACAATAGTTGTTAAACAAAGAATATCCAGGTGGGGCAGATTCCCAACTGCAAGTCTCCATCCTTGCCTCTGCCCGTCTTTTCAGTTTTTTCTGGTTCTCTGATTCTCAGATTGATACTGGCCCTGCTTCTGCTGGCTTTGTTTGGAGAAGCCTAGAATCTAGAAGGGAACATTATTTAATTAAAGCCATAGTCATCTGATAACTCTTGGGTGTACACAGAGTCAAACCTTACTTAACCTTGCTGAATTTTGAGGAAAATGCTTTTCTTCTCAGGCCCTGTGGCCTTTTCCTCAGAAGACATGTATCATACATTACTGACAGCAGATGTTATCTGTGTTGATGGT